TTACCATTTGAAAATCAAAAGTTGACAGTGGTTTACCTAATAAATATAAGGGTGAAATATATAAAAAAGATATACAATTCTAGAACAGCGTAAATCTACAATTTTGAAAAAAAAAAAAAATTGAAAAAAGTCAATACTTTTTCAAATAATGAGTGTTGTTTGATAAAAGAATCACCCTGTATATTATTAACCATCACACCTTAAAGAAATTGCTAAACAAGTCTTTAATTTATTTTTGAGTTGATAATATCTGCTTGCACTATACAACTTGAAAATTCACGATAGTTTGTAGGAGTAACATACTGTAAATCACCTTCGTGGACCTCTAATGCCTTAAACTCAATACTTACGTCCAACTTCTTTCGCTTTAAATCAACAACATTTTTGAATTCTGTGAAATTATTAATCATGAGTTATGAATCAGGAATTAAAGTAAAATAATGTTAAATTCAAATAGGTACATTACTGAATCTAGATGTATAGATGATGAAATATGTGGCACTTATCATTACAATATCAATAAAGAGAATATGATTTAATAAAAAAAAAAATATGTCACTTTTGAAATCTTAGGAACAATGACTTTAAGAGAAATTAAACATTGCATTTGCATAATAATTTACCATACATAACTACAAACTTTTTTCTTGAACTGTTTGAAGAAAATGGATCATATACAATAACAGTTTTAATTTAAATCAATGGGTTAAATAAACAAAGAATACACATTGAATTGAGATAAAAAAGCTAATTTCAAATTTGAAATCTTAGATAGGTACAAATGTACAATGAATTATAGAGAAATTATAGAATAATTAAGAATCTACTGTTTGTGGAATTATTCAACGAGTAACTCTAGAAATTGCTAAATTCCGATCTCACTTTATTAAAATGCCAATTTCTGCAAATGAACAACGTGCTATACAGTTAGGCTTTTATAGAATGAGAGGTTTTCCAAGAGTAATAGGTGCTATTGATTGCTCATACATTCGAATACAATCACCCAATAGTGATATAGGGGAACAATTTCGAAACAAGAAAGGATACTTCAGCATTAATGTACAAGCTGTATGTAGTAGTGATATTGTTATTACTAATTTAGTTGCCAGGCAAGTAGTTACATCAAATAATATGTTAACATAAATTTATCAATTTATATACAAAAATTTTTTATCAAATTTATACTAAGTGGGCTGGTTCTGTTCATGATTCGACAATATTCGATACTAGCATGCTTCGTGCACAATTTGAAAACAAAGAGTTTGGCGCATGTGTTTTGCTTGGGGATGGAGGATACCCATGTCTAAGTTATTTGTTGACGCCATTACTGAATCCACGATCAGAATCCGAGAAAAGATATCAGGTAATTAATAATTTTAATAAACTATTCGTATGACAGTATACACAGACAAAGCCTAATAAATATGAGGACACTAGGGTGATGATTTTATATAAAATGTTTAAACAATATTTTAATATATATATAAGTAGTTAATAAGTACCATTCCATTCAAAAACTATTGAGCTGTAGAACCAATACCACAGATTTAAAGAGTTGTTGAAATGTGGATGAGGTTTGCAATATAATTTAGAAACTGTCTAGAATATTGAGCTAAAAAAAACTTGTGAGAATAAATGAAAATTAATAACAATAGTTTATATTTTATTTTTGTAAGATATTACATTATTAATTATAATAAATGTTTTAAAATAAAAAATGATGCAGAGAAACAAATGTAGACAAATTTATATCATAATTTTTTTACTCATCAAGCTCTATAAGTTTAAGTAATATTTATACCACCTTCTTTTTAATAACCAATCCAATAGTTGTAAGAATCAATCCTTAAATCAACAATTCATGTTTATATAAAAAAAATTTGTAAATCATATCCAATTTTATATTCAACTATTTATGACAGTAATCAATGTCATATTTTATAGAAATAAATTAATTATTGTAATCATTTCTCATTTACTCTTTCGATTTTTTTTTTCTCAATATTCTTGACAGTTTCCAAAATTAATCAGGAAATAGGATTTTCAACAGGGATTAAACAAGACTGCATCAGGAATGATTCTTATTAACTATTTATATAATTTAAGTATRAAATTATGATTTTAGAAAGCACAAATAGGAACTAAGAATGTTATTGAGAGACTTTTTGGAATTTG